TTATGGGCGACTGATGGAACAGGATTGGATATTTTTCGTAAAACAATGAACTATAAGCGTTTTCTTTTCATTCATGCCTTATGATGTTGGAACACGGGATGGCAGAAGAAAGAGTGATAAATTAGCTCCAATAAGAGATTTGTTTCAAAATTTTGTCGAAGAATTGTCAGAAATTATATCATGTAGGGGAATATGTGTCTTTGGATGAAAAGCTTGAACCTTTTCAAGGACGATGCTCCTTTCTTAAGTACATGCCTAAGAAACCTGTAATACATGGTACAAAGATATTTACTGTAGTTGATTTTAGAACCTTCTATACTTTCAACATGGAAATTTACTCAGGTCAGCAGAAGCAAAGCACATCGTAGCTCCATTATACAATTCTGGAAGAAACATTACCACAGACAGTTGATATACCAGTTTATAAATTGGCCAATTTCTTACAGAAAAATAAAATTTCTATCGTTGGAACAATATGCAAGGATAAGAAGATTATCTCATGTGAATTTGTGTCGAATAAGAATAGAGAACAGCATTCAATCTTCTTCGGGTTTCAAAAGGATATAATGCTACTTTCTTATATTGCTTTTTACAGAGATTTGTAAAAAAATCTGAAATAATTACATTTTATAACATGACGAAAGGAGCAGTTGATATAGTCGATGAAATGGGTGGCACTTATTCTGTGGCCAGAATATCAAACCGATGGCCTATGGGCATATTTTTTTCGCTATTAAATATTGCCGGCATAAATTCAAAGATCTTGCTTTTATCTACTAAAACTCCACCAGAGAAGTTCAGGAATAGGAGGCACTTCTGATTTGGCCTTTGCACTTTTAGATCCTCATTTAAAATCACGACAGAAACAGAAGAAATACAACGAAGATTCTCTTGAAGATTCGAAAAGAAAATTATGTTACTGGAGATGTTACATGTGCTCAAGGGAAAAAGACAGAAAATCGGAAACTATATGTGTGAAAAAATACATATGTCAAGAACACTGTGAAATAGAAGCTTCATTTGAACTACAAAATATATTCTTCTTCTTGAGCCTAATTGATTTGAAAATTAATTATATAACTCATTGTCCATGTAATAATTCTGCATAATTTGGATTATAATTGCATTCAAAAATAAAAAACACAAATTTCTCATAGAAATCAATGATTCCTAGTCATATAAAGAAAACGTTAAATACTTTTGATTTATTTGTTATTAATTTTAAAATTAACATTATTTTTAAGCAAGATTCTATAATAAATGTTGTAATTAATATAGAATGCATAATTTTACATTACTACATTTGTACGTCATTTAATTGCGACGCGCGTTCTCGCGTCACATAATGCAGCGCCCGTCGTCATGGTTAACCTATTTATTTTACTTCTATATGCTATATATCTTATAACTTTACTGTACACCGCTAAAATCATCGCTTCCATATGTTAAATATCTTGCAACGTAACTATACACCGCTAAAATCATGGCCGATTAGCCGCTGGCGAATAAATACGCACCGGCGCTAACGGATCCGCTGCAGAAGAAAACCCCAAGACAATACGATGACAATATTATTTATTTCACTTTTCATACAGTACAGAAATAAATGACCTAATAAACCTTCACAGTTAATTATTTTTAGACCTTTTTGCTCATCTATAAAATCAAATTTAATTATTACCAAGACTTCAAGTAAACCAGCTGAGACACTAGGATTTTGTCTGAAAACTGGGACTGCCCTGGTCAAACCGGGACGTCTGACAAGTGTATCTACAATTAAGATTCCATTACAAAGGCAATGGGCAAATAATTTCCACCTGAAATATACACTAACCAACATAAACAATACCCTTTCTACCCTTTTTATAATTAAATTTATTTTCCTCGTTGTCATATTATGAATTGATATAGGGTATTATATAAAATTTGTTTTTATGGTTTATGATATAACGGGCAGATAAAGGAATTGTAGTATTAAAAATCTGATATCACATGACAGTCAATTGCAATCTAGTACAACTTTTAAATACTGAAAACAGTAGAAATGTAACTATCACTCACTGAAAATAAATGTTAAACACAAATTTCATCTACAGGTAATAAGCAGATGCATATTTTGACATCTCTCTCGAAGTGTATCTAATAATGAGTAATATGAGTGCATCCCTTCATGAAACATCTAACATGATCTGCTAATTTTGTACCTCTTCTGCATGCCTGCTGTTTAAAAATTTATTTTCTATGGTGTGGATTACAATTACAAAGAACAATTCCCATGCATAATTTAGTCAAGCATTACTATTTAGCACCAATGAGAATTCAATATAATTAAATGATTAACAGGGTAATCTATTTTTGGGGGTACCCTTTAGATTATCGCCAAGTTAATGTTCAATTTATGGTAATCTAAGTACTTTACAGTGCATGTTTTGGAAACTCTATCATGACGTTATTAGTTGTAAGGCGTGATGGTGCTGAATTTTGATTGTTGGGAGAACATTGCTCAGGGTTTATTTCTGCATTGGATGTTGATTGAGAAGTACATTGCTTTTTTTGTGCTTTACAAGAACAAGGGAACGGAAGGCTGTTTTCTTTTAAATGGTTGATGACAGAAGAAAAGAAACTTTGTTGGATGTAATTCAGCGGAATATCTTACCTGGGACAACAATCTTATCCGATTACCGGAAGTCGTATGAGTGTCTTTCTGATAATGGCTTTGTTTACCTCTGAGTAAATCACATACTGACATTTAACCCGGGAGCACTTGCGCTCTTTTGAGTCGCATGAATGCGCGCCCCGAGTCCAAAAGACCCAGCTCGTGTTTTTCGAAGAAAAAAATGTTACTCTTCAGGTAAAAGTGTTAAATTTATACCAAAATATTACGATCAAACTTAAAAAATATGCAAATTAAAGAAATTAACATTTTAATTTAAATTTCTATAATATTTTTTATGAAATAAAATGGGTTAGAGTAGACTTTAAGGTACCCCTTGTATTATGGCGAAGTTGTTGTTTCACTTACTTATGGTAGTCTGAGTAGTTGAATGTTATGGAAACCCTATTGTGACGTAATCGGGTGCATAATTTTGGGAAATTTTGAATCATGGGATGTTTTGTAAACGTTTTTGTGGTGTGTGTTGGTTTGATTGTTTAGACTGTAGAATGGTTGAAATTGAGAGAAAGTGCAGAATCGCGAACTGCTTGCCGCGTTTTTAAGAATTGCACATACATGGTATTCATGTACACGTCGACCTACTTTCACTTAAAAAATATCCCAGAATTGCACAAAAATGACATTGCGCACACTCGACTTTATCCATGTACACTGCTAAAGTTCTAGCTAGTAACCTTTATCACCTTACCAAAATGTCGCCAAACTGCCTGTTACCATATTCCAAAGATTAGCCGGAATTATTATTCAGGTTTATTAGGAATATACTGCCTGAAAGAATATCTTCCTCGGAAAGCTTCAAATTTTTCATCAATTGTAATATTGACACACTAACATGACTCACCCACAGCGTAATATTTCTGATAATTATTCATAAAATCTTCAAAACTTCATTATAAATTTCATCATCAGTTTCTTTAATGGCATGTTCAACATTTGATACATCTTCTAATAATTTTTGCAAATGTAACATTTCTCCCTTATAGGATAAATTACAAGATGTTTGCAGCTTTCTGTACTACCACAAATGAACTATGTTACAGCAATGTGAACAGACGTGCTAGGTCTGAAAGACCCCCATCCGATCAAAACAAAACTTCGAATCAAATTTCCAGTGAAAAACTTCGGAAACATAAAGAGGATGGCCTTGGAGACTACACTGAACCACAACCACTTAGGAAAAATAGGGGTGTTTTCAGAAAGGTTTCTTTAATCGGCCGGGTCCATTGGACGCAGCACGCGCACATGCTGGTTAAGGATCCGGAAACCACAGCTCCTATCAACACTATTAAAGGTGCAATAAAAAGGGATTTTTGAAAGGAATGCCACCGACAGTATGACACTACGAAGGATATTTTTTATTCTTATTTTTGTGAATTCATGTGGCGACAGCAATATGCAGATTCTAGTTCAAATAATTTTAAGCAGTTTTCTGGGACTGAAGGCACAGAAATTTATAAATAAGGTAAGCTGATATTTTCTTTTAGTACTGCGAAGATTAGATATCATGTATTTCCATTTTAGTTATTTCCAAGTTTTATTTTGATTTAAAATAAAGTTTATTAAGACTGTAATTTTTTTATGTTTTACTGCAAAACACGTTGGACGACATTTTGCTTGGGAGGGTGTTGCAAATAAACAAGAATAGTACCCAAAAAACCGCCAGATTTCAGTAAGGAGTACCCTGAAATATATTTTTCCAATTATTATACTAAGTTGGAAGTAAGTAAATCTTCAATTTGTCTGTAGCTCCTACACAAAAAATTTAAACATACATCAGGAATATTCTTTCGGATGCTGAATATAACCAAAGATAACTTACTCTAAATATGATGTTAAAATAAATAATCCTCACTCTCTTTCCAGAAATTCAGAAACTTACACTAGGAATACCTTGTTAAAAGTGTATGACAAATATACAGTTAAATGTTACAGTAGTTGATAGTGATTATGAATCTTCTGTTTGACAAAATATTTTTGAGAGTCCAGTAAGAATGAATTTAAGAATAAAGTAATAATGATTATCACAAAAATTTTACGTAAAATTAATTTGAATATAATATAAAATGATTCAAAATTCAGACAATTTTTACATTATATTCACTGCATAACTGTCAGGTGAACGAATCATAAATTAGTTAAGATCACCATAAATAGTTTTCCTTTACGCAAACTAAGACTCAAATTTTAATTTGTTTATGAAAGAGAAATTTATATCAAACTATCATATGTTAAATAAAGACGGTAAAAACACGCATAACATTTTTAAGCAAATCCTACGTATAATGCCTTTACGAGGTGTTTTTACAAAAAATTTTTGAGTGCATACCTCGATGTTAAGTCAACACCGAACTTCTTCTCACATAAAACACGTATCTTTTTCGAGGACAACGTAGAGAGATCAGCACCTCGCATTATATCTAAAAAGGAAACAAAAACAGCTGTCATAAATCATGGTTTAATCCATTTGTAAAAATAATTAAGGGAACTTAAGAGATATTGCTATATTTACCTGAAATAGTGCGGCGAAGTTCTGAATTTGAAATTTTTGGCATCTTTCTTGTACTACCTAAAACTGAAACAATAACAACACAACATCCACGTGCAGGTATCAGCAGACAAAGAGCAAAAGTCTTACTACAAATCACAGAAACGATTTAAAACTTCGCTATGAATAACGCAAAAAATTAAAATTTCAATTTTACAGAAACACTAAAAAGAAACCTGATATTCACAGAACAACGAATTTTGGCGCAATGTTCTACCAAAAATCACACTGGTCACACTCTCTACACCGTTATTCTCATTGGCTTCTACAAAACTTTAAAAGTATGAGTTAATATTTTGGTACAAGCCGGGTGGGATAGCTACTACTTCTATGAATAAAAAACAAATATTATCATTATCCATACAACAGCCTAATATATTTCTCATTTTAAACTACATAATTTTTGGTGATAAATGCAAAAATTTGTTTAAAAATTGTTCCTGTGATAGGATGATGGGGAGAAGAAGAAACCGCATTGCATATCTTCTTGTGGAACGATGTTTCAAGGAGGTTATAATAGAAGGAGGGAAGGTTCAGCTCAAACGGTGAAGCTTGGCGGCCATCTTCTTGTTATCACCGTGACTTGTGCAAGGAAATCTGTCATTGCAACATTTTTTCTTTTCTTTTTGAAGCATGTCAGCTTGTTGCATATGGATGCCAAATAATTCTCGAAAAAAAAATTCCGGGCATTATTTTTCACACGTAAGTATCAATTTTTTTTTATGTAATATGACAACTATATAAAAAAATATCACAATGTCATGTGGTTTTTCTTCCAGATATGAATACAAAAGGACTAAAATAGGTTATTTAATATAACGATAATTAAATATATTAAATACATTTGAATGTTTCTGTTTACAGGGTATCTTCGTTCCTTAAGATACAATGCTATATGGTAGGATTTAAATTGTATAATTTGAACGTTTTAGTTAATTCGTTTTATAACTTCATGAAAAGTAAGAATCAATTGTTACTATTTTTATTATTGTAAGGTGTTAAATAAAGCAATGCTTTTCTTTAAATATTAATTATTATTCATTTTTTTAAGTTAACATAATTGTTCTGTGTGTTAAAAATTTTGCATAAACTTACAAATTCTGGGCAGAATAGTGATAAAATTAAGTAAAATATTCCACAATTGAAATGTGGAAAGATGTATCCAAAAACTTAATAGGCGTATTTCTGTAATTAATTAATTAAAGGCAGTTTCTTTGAGATAATAAATATGAAATGCGCATAAACTGAAATCAATGAATCACATAAATCTGTTTATTTATTAAGATTTATTTTCTAACCTAAGCAAATCCTGAAATATGCAGAACATAATTTTTAAAGGCTTTAATGTTATGCGCATGTGTAGATTTCGAACTATTTCTTAATAATTTGCTGATATAGTAAATTATGGATATCATCTTTATTACTTTAAAACAAAAATTCAACAATAGCGAGGGATTCATTATAAATTTAAAATTTTTACTGGAAAATAATGCCACGGAACAGCTTAAACCACGTACATGTCACTGCCGAATGCAAGTTTTGAAGTCACAAACATGGACGCCGCTTGTCGGCGGAGTTTCTTCCCCGATAGTGGAGGAAACTACGAACCCTCCCTCCTTCTATTCTAACCTCCTTGCGATGTTTGATAAGGTCCTCTAAACCCATAGAGGTAGGAAGTAAGATGGAGTCGCCCTAAACAAGTTTTCCCGTACCCAGCTCTGAAGCACCGGCGATCCTACGTGGTGACCAAACAGGGTCATTTACCATTGAGTTCTAGGGATTTGACGCGTTCGAATGTATATTTTGTAATTACGTCGTTAAATATACATATAAATGTATATTTTTCTTTTTCTACAACACTTCAGAGTCCTAAGTTGGGAAAACAACATATTTTTAAACACATTTCATTCTGAACGGAATTAAATGCTATATTTTTCACAGGACATTTTCTCGAATGGTTTAATTTGAGGAAATATTTTCACAAGTTTCGTTAATTATATTAGAAAAAAAATTAAGGTAATTCGATTTTATTCGGTTAAGGTAAAAATAAGATCAAAGTTATTGTATTATTAATATTAAATCATGCATTATTTCTTTCTATTTATAGGCTTTCTTCCTAAATACTTTCTTAAAATGACATGATTTTTTGGCTTTTGAGGATCTTTTAAATCGAAAATGTAAGTCAATTTATAATTATGCTCTATTCGGTTCATTTTAAATTAGAGAATTATTAGGAATTAGCGAAATATGTAAATAGTATTTCGCTAATTCCTAATAATTAAATAGGTATTAAATAGTACTTGACTTGTCTGAACATTCTGAAAGGGAATGAAATAAGTTTTTTTAATATTATTAAAACTTGTACTGAGTTTTAAAAATGTAAGGGGATTAATTCTTTTATTATACTTATCAGATTTTTTTTACCCTTCATTTAACATACATATCCAACGTTCTTTAAGGCGCATCTATAGCATTTGCTTTACAATACCTTTAACACATTGCTTTCCAATCAAAAAATTCTTGTTAAATACTTTATAACGTATTTGTCAACAGGATTTCAATTTATGTTACAATCAATATTAAGTTATTATATATTTAGATAACATTTATAATCATTATAAATTAGATACCTTTAATAATTAGGATTTCTTCACAGCACTTTTACATTTTTTATAGTGAAAATTCTTCATCAAATACTTTATAAATAATTTAATGAATATTTAAGTTTTTGTCAAAGGCAGATACATGCTTTTTGCAAGCACATGATAAATCCCATACATATTCCTATTTTCATTTCCGGCATGTGCAAATCTTTAATTTCTGTGCATTCACTATATTTTCGGAAAGTAATTACACTATTTAGCATACACCAAAGTTTTACATAAAAAATATATATAATATAATTTGAATGAAAATTATAAGTATTATTTTTAAACCCACTCAAGGTCAGTTTTCTTCAAAATTCCTCGGCGTGGCATCTCTCTCTTAGGCAGATGCCCTGCATGCGTTACTCTATTTAATAAAATTAATCTGACCTATGTGTAATTACAAAATTTTAACATACATTATTTATATTTATAAAACGTGTAAGCCCAAAGTGATTATTTTCATATACATAAAAATTAAAACGAGGGTTTAAAATGAGAGCAGTAAAGCCTCTC